TTAGAGAGGAAAGGAGAGGGAGAAAGAGATAGAAACATCAATGGTAAGAGAGAATCATTGATCGGCTGCCTCCTGCACGCCCCCCACTGGGACCAAGCCCGCAACCCAGGCATGTGCCCTTGGCCGGAATCGAACTCAGGACCCTTCAGTCCACAGGCCGACACTCCATCCATTGAGCCAAACCAGCCAGGGCGGTCTGGCTGCTCTTACCGAGAGCCATGAGGTGCTACTGCATGATTTAAAGGGGGAGTCGGTGTCACCTCCGGGTACCGAATACAGTCTGGGAGCGCTACTTTGGGTGCCAAGGTATTGGAATTGCTGACTCTGCGAGGGGGTGTGGTGGTGTTTACAGTGTGGTGTGCACACCACTCAGACGCATCGCCTGGATGTGCGGAGGCCTCACCTTGTCCTCCTGAATTGGCAGCACCTGGTAATCTGCATTATGCATAAAAGACCCCTACAGTTCGTTGCTCCTGAAAGTGGAGCATGGAATTTGACCCTGAGCTTCTGAGTGGCCAGAGGGAAAAGGGGAAGAGTTTCAAGGTTTATCGTCCATAAGGGAAAAAAGCACACCAGTTTCTCTCGGCATTCCTTTTCCTGACTCTGAGATTGAAGAGAAGTTTCTGCTACGGGCCCTCGTGGACCCTGGCCTCAGCATTTCCTAGTAACAGAACATGCAGCCATCGCTTCGTAGCAGGACTCCTTACTGTAAGCCAGAGACACAAGGCCAGGCATGATCCATTTTAGGGAATAGTGGAGGTTTGTTGATCCATTTAGGGAATAGTGGGCCGTAGTTATAGGTCACTTGCATGGATTCGAGCTCCTCTCCTGTACCCCTGGCCTGGGTCAGCCTCAGAGCTGGTGTGAAGCCCCTGTGGCATGGAGTGGGCACATGTGTGGGATGGCTCTGAGGCATGGGCCCTCTGTCCCAGGACACCCTGGAGAAGTGTGGCAAGTGTGGCGAGGTGGTCCGAGAACACATCATCAGGGCCCTGGGCCGGGCCTTCCACCCAACCTGCTTCACGTGTGTGAGCTGTGCCCGGTGCATCGGGGATGAGAACTTTGCCCTGGACAGCCAGAACGAGGTGTACTGCCTGGACGACTTCTATCGGTACGAGGGGGCTCTGGGCTCTGGGTGGGCAGGGAGGACAGGTGGGACTCGGGCAGAAGCGCAGAACTGAGCCTGAGTCCTGGGTCCAAGCTTTCCTGCAGGAACCGGGTCTGCCTGGTCCACACCCTCTACCTGGCCAGGTACCTGATTGCAGCTACCTTTGTTTTTAAATATATTTTTATTGATCTCAGAGAGGAAGGGAGAGGGAAAGAGAGAAACATCATTGATGAGAGAGAATCATCGATCGGCTGCCTCCTGCATGCCCCCCACTGGGGATCGAGCCCACAACCCGGGCACATGCCCCTGACCAGAATCGAACCCGGGACCCTTCAGTCCACAGGCCGACGCTCTAGCCACTGAGCCACACCAGCCAGGGCTGCAGCTACCTTTTTGAGCACCTACACTGTGCCGGGCACTACACTCAGGTTAGGCCATTTCATCCTCAAAAGTAATATAGTAGTAAATTAAGAACAGAAAGCTTCATTGCATCAGGCCACGAAGTATGCATACATCACTTCCTGTAGGGCAGGTACTATTCAGGTTTTCATGTTACCAAATGTGGAAACTGAGGCACACAGCAGGTAAGTGCCCAGGGTCTCCCAGCCGGTGGGTATGGAAGCTGCAACAAACGCCTGTCAGCCTGAATCTGGGGCCTTGCCCTCAACCTCCAGATCACAGTGCCTCCCTCGGAGCTGGAGCCTTAAGAAGCAGTAGTGAGCCCCAGTGGCTGGCTCAGCGGTTGAGTGTCAACCTATAAACCAGGAGGTCAGGGCTCGATCCCCGGTCAGGGCACATGCCGGGCCTGCGGGCTCCATCCCAGTAGAGGGCGTGCAGGAGGCAGCCGATCAGTGATTCTCATCATTGATGTTTCTATCTCTCCCTCTCCCTTCTTCTCTCTGAAATCAATAATGACATTTAAAAAAAAAAGAAAGAAAAAAGAAAGGAGAGAAGAAAAAGTAGCGTCCTATAATACAAGACCAATGAAATGGGCCCCGGCCTGCCCCCCCAACTCACGTGAGAAGTCTCTGCTTTCTCAAACGCTGACGTGCCCCAGTCACTTCCTTGCCTCGAGCTAATTATACCCTGGGAAGCCGGGTCTAATTACACACGTCTCTCCACCGCTCCTGCCAGGAAGAAATAGGCCTTTGCGGTTGTACTCCAGGTGCAGTCACATAGCAACAGGTCTGAAATAGCACTGGGAGCTGAATGAGAGCCAGCCCCCGTTCTGACAGCTAATTTCTGTGGTTGGCGCGAGCGCCTCCCCAGCGTGGGTTCCTTTCCCTCTAGGAAATTCGCCCCTGTGTGCAGCATCTGTGAGAATCCCATCATCCCCCGAGACGGGAAGGATGCCTTCAAAATCGAGTGCATGGGAAGAAACTTCCATGAAAATTGCTACAGGTGCGAGGTGAGTAGAGCGGTGATTTAATGATGCTGCGGGTTCTGTTCGCCACTGCCCGGGCCCTGGGCTGGGACAGGTCAGGGTCGGGCTCGGCCCCCTGCCCAATAGCAAAAATAAATAAGAATGGAAATAAGCCCTAGCTGGTTTGGCTCAGTGGATAGAGGGTTGGCCTGCAGACTAAAGGGTCCCCAGTTTGATTCCAGTCTGGGTTGTGGACTCAATCCCCAGTAGGGGGTGTGGAGGAGGCAGCCGATCAATGATTCTCTCTCATCATTGATGTTTTTTCTCTTTCTCTCTCTCCTTCCTCTCTGAAATAAAAATAATAATAATAATTTTATATATATATGTATATATATATATATACACACACACAACACCACACACATATATTAAAAAGTGTCCTGGGAGAAGGGACACGGAGGCACTCTGCGCACCTCCTGTCTCGGAGGCACGAGGCCTGCAGCGAGGAGGCAGGGCCACCCTGTGCCCAGCCCGAGACACTCATGGCAAAGGGAACGCGCCCAGGGCCCTGCCCGTAAAGACCTGGGCTTGGTCCAGGCTCTGCTAATTCACCGGCTCCTCCCCGGGCTTCAGGTTTCCCGTCCATTGGATGCAGATCATGAAGCCCCTCTCCTTTGTCCCAAGGGCTGAGGGGACTGTACAGATGGGAAGCTTGTTCCGGCCCTGTGAGCACCCCACTACAGACTCAGGGGGGCTTGTTCAACTGCAGGGGGCTGGGCGTCACCCCGGAGCTCCTGACCCAGCAGGTGAGGGGTCCGTTCCCCGAATTTACATCTTCCGCAAAGCTCCCCAGGCTGCCGGTCCAAAGGCCACATGCCGAGAACTGCTCTGCTAGCCCCAGGTCTCACCTGCTCCATGCCTTGGGACCAGACCATAGTTCTCAAAGTGTGGCCCTGACCAGAGTGTCAGCATTGCCTGGAAACGCGGAAGAAAAGTAAATTCTTGGGCCCCACGGCAGACCTGCTGAGTCACAGACACCCGGGTGGGGCCCAGGCCCAGGCGGCTGTGTTTGAACAGGCCCCCAGGGATGCTGAGGTGGCTGAAGTGTGAGAGCCTCCAGGGGACCTGGCGTGAGTCAGGAGACCCAGCAGGAATGCTGCAGCCCCTCCCAGAACCTGCCTTAGGTTCTAGAGTCGACAATAGGCTTAATTGGCTCAAGTAGTGGCAGGCAGCCTGGACCCCCTGATTGTCCAGTTACAATTGGTCCATAATAGGCATGTGACCCACACTGAGCCAATCAGAGGCCTTCTTGGGGTTGAATGGGATCCTGGATGTGGTTTCTAAGTTAAAAGGACATAAACCTGGCCCATGCACTGCATCCGCGTCCTTATAGAGGATGCCAGCCCATACGAAGAGAAGATGAAGCAAACACATAAAAAAGGGCAGAGAAATGGAGAGAGAGAGAGAGCGCCCTAAGGATATCATTAATGATGTCACCATGAGCCTCGCCGGAAGGTGGACAGGTCCTGGCCGGGGCAGGAATGAAGAGAAGGCCCCCAGGCCCAGGGCAGGAGTGCAGGAAGGGAGCCAGAGAGCGGGAGGAGAGGCAGCAGCCTTTTAAAGAGAAGCCAAGAGAGAAACCGACTTAGTTTTTTTTATTGATTTTTAGGGAGAGAAGTAGGGAGGAGAGAAACATCAATCATGAGAGAGAATCATCAATTGATCAGCTGCCTCCTGCACAACCCCTAGTGGGGATCAAGCCCACAACCCGGGCATGTGCCCTGACCAGGAATTGAACCTATGACCTCTCAGTTCACGGGTCAAAGCTCAACCACTGAGCCACCACAGCTGGGCCTGTGGTTCCCTTTCTTGCGGAAAGCAGGTTTAGTTTCTATCATTAATCCAAAGAATTCTGATTAATAGACTCTATTTGTAACTATTTTCATTCTCTTTTAAAAAGATAGGAATAAGAGACTGATGGGGCCGACCTAGTGCGGAGCGGGGAGGAGGGGGAAGGGTGGGGCTTGTCAGGATGAAAGGGCTCCAGAAATTCGGGCGGGTGGATTCCTGCGGGGACACCAGATGACAGCCTGCTGTGGAGGTGGCTTGGAGCAGTGGGCAGGGCCCCAGGGCCGCTTTGGTGTCCGCTTTGGTGTCTGGTAGTCAGACCGGACTCATGACCAAGCTGCTCACTTAGAACTTACCTCACGCCTGCCAGACTGAACCCCAAGTCGCATTGATCGGCTGCCTCCTCCACACCCCCTACTGGGGATTGAGTCCACAACCCAGACTGGAATCAAACTGGGGACCCTTTAGTCTGCAGGCCAACCCTCTATCCACTGAGCCAAACCAGCTAGGGCTTATTTCCATTCTTATTTATTTTTGCTATTGGGCAGGGGGCCGAGCCCGACCCTGACCTGTCCCAGCCCAGGGCCCGGGCAGTGGCGAACAGAACCCACAGCATCATTAAATCACCGCTCTACTCACCTCGCACCTGTAGCAATTTTCATGGAAGTTTCTTCCCATGCACTCGATTTTGAAGGCATCCTTCCCGTCTCGGGGGATGATGGGATTCTCACAGATGCTGCACACAGGGGCGAATTTCCTAGAGGGAAAGGAACCCACGCTGGGGAGGCGCTCGCGCCAACCACAGAAATTAGCTGTCAGAACGGGGGCTGGCTCTCATTCAGCTCCCAGTGCTATTTCAGACCTGTTGCTATGTGACTGCACCTGGAGTACAACCGCAAAGGCCTATTTCTTCCTGGCAGGAGCGGTGGAGAGACGTGTGTAATTAGACCCGGCTTCCCAGGGTATAATTAGCTCGAGGCAAGGAAGTGACTGGGGCACGTCAGCGTTTGAGAAAGCAGAGACTTCTCACGTGAGTTGGGGGGGCAGGCCGGGGCCCATTTCATTGGTCTTGTATTATAGGACGCTACTTTTTCTTCTCTCCTTTCTTTTTTCTTTCTTTTTTTTTTAAATGTCATTATTGATTTCAGAGAGAAGAAGGGAGAGGGAGAGATAGAAACATCAATGATGAGAATCACTGATCGGCTGCCTCCTGCACGCCCTCTACTGGGATGGAGCCCGCAGGCCCGGCATGTGCCCTGACCGGGGATCGAGCCCTGACCTCCTGGTTTATAGGTTGACACTCAACCGCTGAGCCAGCCACTGGGGCTCACTACTGCTTCTTAAGGCTCCAGCTCCGAGGGAGGCACTGTGATCTGGAGGTTGAGGGCAAGGCCCCAGATTCAGGCTGACAGGCGTTTGTTGCAGCTTCCATACCCACCGGCTGGGAGACCCTGGGCACTTACCTGCTGTGTGCCTCAGTTTCCACATTTGGTAACATGAAAACCTGAATAGTACCTGCCCTACAGGAAGTGATGTATGCATACTTCGTGGCCTGATGCAATGAAGCTTTCTGTTCTTAATTTACTACTATATTACTTTTGAGGATGAAATGGCCTAACCTGAGTGTAGTGCCCGGCACAGTGTAGGTGCTCAAAAAGGTAGCTGCAGCCCTGGCTGGTGTGGCTCAGTGGCTAGAGCGTCGGCCTGTGGACTGAAGGGTCCCGGGTTCGATTCTGGTCAGGGGCATGTGCCCGGGTTGTGGGCTCGATCCCCAGTGGGGGGCATGCAGGAGGCAGCCGATCGATGATTCTCTCTCATCAATGATGTTTCTCTCTTTCCCTCTCCCTTCCTCTCTGAGATCAATAAAAATATATTTAAAAACAAAGGTAGCTGCAATCAGGTACCTGGCCAGGTAGAGGGTGTGGACCAGGCAGACCCGGTTCCTGCAGGAAAGCTTGGACCCAGGACTCAGGCTCAGTTCTGCGCTTCTGCCCGAGTCCCACCTGTCCTCCCTGCCCACCCAGAGCCCAGAGCCCCCTCGTACCGATAGAAGTCGTCCAGGCAGTACACCTCGTTCTGGCTGTCCAGGGCAAAGTTCTCATCCCCGATGCACCGGGCACAGCTCACACACGTGAAGCAGGTTGGGTGGAAGGCCCGGCCCAGGGCCCTGATGATGTGTTCTCGGACCACCTCGCCACACTTGCCACACTTCTCCAGGGTGTCCTGGGACAGAGGGCCCATGCCTCAGAGCCATCCCACACATGTGCCCACTCCATGCCACAGGGGCTTCACACCAGCTCTGAGGCTGACCCAGGCCAGGGGTACAGGAGAGGAGCTCGAATCCATGCAAGTGACCTATAACTACGGCCCACTATTCCCTAAATGGATCAACAAACCTCCACTATTCCCTAAAATGGATCATGCCTGGCCTTGTGTCTCTGGCTTACAGTAAGGAGTCCTGCTACGAAGCGATGGCTGCATGTTCTGTTACTAGGAAATGCTGAGGCCAGGGTCCACGAGGGCCCGTAGCAGAAACTTCTCTTCAATCTCAGAGTCAGGAAAAGGAATGCCGAGAGAAACTGGTGTGCTTTTTTCCCTTATGGACGATAAACCTTGAAACTCTTCCCCTTTTCCCTCTGGCCACTCAGAAGCTCAGGGTCAAATTCCATGCTCCACTTTCAGGAGCAACGAACTGTAGGGGTCTTTTATGCATAATGCAGATTACCAGGTGCTGCCAATTCAGGAGGACAAGGTGAGGCCTCCGCACATCCAGGCGATGCGTCTGAGTGGTGTGCACACCACACTGTAAACACCACCACACCCCCTCGCAGAGTCAGCAATTCCAATACCTTGGCACCCAAAGTAGCGCTCCCAGACTGTATTCGGTACCCGGAGGTGACACCGACTCCCCCTTTAAATCATGCAGTAGCACCTCATGGCTCTCGGTAAGAGCAGCCAGACCGCCCTGGCTGGTTTGGCTCAATGGATGGAGTGTCGGCCTGTGGACTGAAGGGTCCTGAGTTCGATTCCGGCCAAGGGCACATGCCTGGGTTGCGGGCTTGGTCCCAGTGGGGGGCGTGCAGGAGGCAGCCGATCAATGATTCTCTCTTACCATTGATGTTTCTATCTCTTTCTCCCTCTCCTTTCCTCTCTAA